GGATGCAAATCAATGAAATGACAGTTTCTGACCATATGATCCTAAGGCCAAGTTTTGACATCAGGTCAAGTTCACTACACCAGTAATGGGTGGAGTGGCTGCAGCTACGACTGGTGGAGATGGGCATGGCAGGCAGACTGGAAAAAGTGGAACAAAGGGACGCAAAAACTGAACACAAGACAAAATAATAAACCAAAGAGAAGAACTCAAAACAGAAAACAAAACAAAAAAAGGTCACCAAACAACCTAAAAAACACAGATTGTGACAGAAAAACCATGGAGGATGTGAACCCATCTCAGGGCTTAATTTGTAAACTGGTTGATGCCAGAACGCAAATAGAGGGCGAGCTAACTGGGGGTGGGGGTGGTGGGAGGGTTGTGTCTGGGGAGGGGTCTTCCCCCAGAAATTTTTGAATAAAGTAGATCCAATTTCCTGCATTTTGGTGTATTTTAACGGGTTGTTAAACATCTATGTTTACCTACATTTGTAAACACACCACTTCTGTCAAGCATCCTACCTCACCACTCACTTGACAGTTCTGAACCCACTCTTCTCCACTGAATTCACTGTCCAACTCCACATGTGAAACCTTCAGGCGTCTCCTCCGTCTGTTCATGGCAGCTGCCTGTGGGCTCCTGTCTGCGTACGACTGCCTGGTTAGCTCAGCACTCACCCCCACCACTCTTTTAGGTACGGAAATTTTTTTAAGGGTAGAAGTGGAAATGCTTCCTTGAAGAGGCAGATCATATGTATATTAAGAAGCTCGTAAGTGGCTGTTGTGTTTAAAATGAGTGTTTATTAATTATTTTCAGTTTATGTATCCAACATAAGTTTTATTTGTTCAAGGCAGTCATATTTGTTCATAATTTTAATATTAGTAAGCTTGAGAGTTACCAGATCCAAGCAAACAGTTACTGGAACACACCATGTCAAAATAAGAGCGTTACCGGATCCCGTTCCGGCAGGATCTGGCTCAAATTATGCACTGACCCAACTGAACTATTAAAACTCACAGTAAAACAAGAGAAAACCAGAGCACTACAACACAAAATTTAAAATAAATTATACAATGACCAGAGAGAGAGAGAGAAAAAAGTTTATCTTATAAAGACTTAAACTGTGACACTGCAGGTGGTTCTGACTTTTCATACAAACTATACACAACTCAACTTTCAAACAAACTGTTCCCTAAACATCAGCTCAAAGTTGTCCGGATATATACTTTATTAAATAACTGATCAGATTCTTAGTCTCCATTTTTTTTTCTATTGCCAGAGTCCATTCTTTATAAATATTTGATGCTACCAGTAACAAATACTCAAAATGTTTATTTTTCCACAACAGGAAAAAGAAATGGAGAAGCAAAGGCTCCTGTACCAGCAGTCCAGACTTCATAACCGCGGCGCTGCAGAGATGGTCCTGCAAATGATCAGTGCCTGCAAAGGTCTTATTCCTCCTCTTTACTCCACCATTTTTACTTCATATGCACCTGTTCTGTGTTTAACACCTGTTTTCTGTAGGGGAAACTGGCCCCATGGTATCTACAACCCTCAAACTGGGTATTTCTATCCTTAATGGTGGAAACAGTGAGGTTCAGCGGGTAAAGAAAAGTCCTCTACTATTTAATTTCAAATTTGAAGACACTTTTGTTTAAAATTTTCTTCCTCTGTTGTTAGAAAATGCTTGAGTACTTGAAAGACAAGAAGGACGTTGGCTTCTTTTTGAGTGTTCAGGCACTGATGCAAACTTGCTGGTCAGTTTTTAGTGTTATGACAGAGTTACTTAAATGTATGCAAGTGAAGAAGTTGGGACTGTAAAAGTAAATATAATTTACTGTTGCAGTGTTCTGGATCTAAACGCCTTTGAGAGGCAGAACAAAGCAGAGGGGCTTGGCATGGTTTCAGAAGAAGGAACAAGTAAGCCAACATCCTTTCTTGTTTAGAATACGGCAGCAAAAATCCTAATTTTGTTTAATAGAATATTGATTAAACTAAATATAATGCTGAAAATCTTCATGTATGTAAATATTACTGATTGAAAAGTTTACATTTTATCTGAGTAACAAATTAAATGTACATTCTTTGGTCTACTTTGCTGTCAACAATAAGTGAGTATAACTAAATATTTTAACTTAAGAGACAGTAAATATGAGATGTGTTATCTAAAAGTTTATCTATAGGAACTCATTACATTGTTTTATTAAAAAATATCAGTTTCCTAACAGTAAGTAGTATTAACACAGTGAAAGAAATCTACTCATGTACTTTAAGTTTAACTTAGTTTTAGTTAAAGTCATTCCATTTGTACATCTAGACCAAGGGTCTGCAAACTTTCTGATCAAAAAAGCCTTTTCCTTACTGAACAAAATGTGTCCGGAGCCACAAAAACTACTACAGTTGTGATTGTCAACTGGTGGCCCATGGGCCACTTCAAGTTTGTTGGAAGGAGGGTTTTTGACTAGTGGGGGTGACATTTTAAAACTAAAATTATATAATGAATTTTAATATTTTTATACATTTTAGGACAAAACGAAAATACTATTTTCATGTAAACAAGCAGTACACCAACGTCCCCCGTCGCTGAGAGATTTGAATCATGAATGTTTATAGTTTTGGAGATGTGTTTTTCTGGACTAGAATTGAACAGAGAATGTAAGTAAACAATGTTTTTATTGCAACATGTTCTAGTAGGAGCTACACCGTGAAGAAGAATAAAGGTACTTACTTTTCTTCTTCTTTTTTTTTTTGTTGTTGTTGTTGCTTTTCTGAGGCAATGCACCACCAAGCACAATGGTGGAGCCAGTGGGTGGCCAATGGTGGCCTTGGCTACCATAGATTAATCTTCAGCTCTCTCAGTCATTTGAGGAAACTATATTTTTAAGCAATAAATAAATAAAAACTAGAAAGCATAGTTTCCTCACATGATCAGGGTAGTTTGTTTACACATATATATGGTGGTGGCCATCTTGGATTTTGATCTGGCTACCCAAATTTCAAAAGGATCCTTCCTTTGCCTAGAAATAACCTCACACCAAGAAGAAGGATGGCCCATTGCTTATTTTTCAAGTTATCCACATCAAATGGTTTACATATTTGGCTGCAGCCCCCTTGGATTTAGACATGGCAACCCAATTTTTTAAAAGACACTTTCTTACGCCTAACTGTAGCTACACACCAAAATGCAAGTCTGTAAACAACTTGCTTTTCAAGTTGTCATGCTCACAACATGCACAAAGAGATGGATTCCACTTCCCCCTTTTCACTTCATTGGGGTGGGGGGTGGGTGGGTGGGGAGAGACAAGAAGAAATTAAAAAAATGCTTTGTATCAATTTTGCAAAAAAAAAAAAAGTAAACACTGAACTCAGCAAGTTTATGTGAATCCTCCTTTATTTGTGGAAAAATCAATTAATTATCACACTTTGAAGGAATAAAGCAAACATTTAAAGTGTGTACAAAAAATATGTCATTTTGTTGGATATGTAATTGTGACTTGTTGAATTTTTAATTAAAAAACAAACTTTTATTTACTTGAACTTTAATTATGTTAATTTTTTTATTATTATTATTGTTGTCAAACGAACTCACCATGTTTCTTGTCAGCAACTTTACTTAAAGTTTTTCAAAGGCTTTCTGGTGGATTTGAGAGAAAGAGCTCTGTAAGGCTGAAAGTGGGATAAATGAAGTAGCTAAATCTAATCAACATGTTTTGCTCCTTGTATTTGTGGTATTGTTTAAACATATGCAGAAAAACTACTAAAACTAGCCATTTCATGTTAGTTTTGATCAAAGAGCCGCAGGTTGCAGACCCCTGCTCTAGTAGTTTGACACACCATCCAGACGTCACCACTCTGTAGTCGTCTAATTCTGATAGTTACTTTAGAACAATCTAGCTGAATGAATTTGTCATGGAATGTTGTTAAATGCCCCTCCTCATTTCTCCTTGTCAACACACTTATCCTCCTTCCCTTCCCCACGATCACTGCCACTCCTCCCATCTCCCTCCTCTCACGGTCCTCAGACATGAACCTAGACCGGGGTAAATCATCTTTCTTTCCATCGTCCTCCTTCTCCTCTCTCTCTCCTGTCCCTCTGGCTCCATCGCTTCCCTTTTTCTAACCATGTGATTTTTATCCAGAGACAATTGTGCATCTTTCATGCTCACAGCTTGTGTGGCCCTCTCTCATGTCTTCAGTTTAAAATGTTCTGAATGGAATCTAACACTTCCCCCTCCTGACTGGCTCTCTGTGGCCACAAACACTGTTGGACCTTAAACCTATTTGCAAGTGAGCAATAAGTTTTATGATACACAATAAAGAAACGTTCAGGTTTGATTGAACCACTTCTTGGTCAGAATCAAAAATCCAAAGCAGGAATGTTGTTAACATTTCAATGTAAGTCATTACTCTAACTCTCCCCACATTTGAGTTACTGAAAGACAATAATATTTGGTCCTTGTCTCCGATGTATTGCCACTGGATTCCCTTCAGCATTTTGAAAGACACTATGTCCCACCTGTTTGACATTTAACCTGATCTGTCGTGTTGATCGCAGGCAGTGGTGGACTGGGATTTTAAAAAGAACAATACTGTGAATTCATTTAGTAACTTTAAAGTTGTTTGACTTTATAAAACAAGTAAACACATTTTCTTATCAATTTGCCACACAGGTCATAACTGAGTGGCCTCAAATTTGAGTGTTCATTACTAATTATGTATCTAACTTGGAAGGTATCATACCACTTTATTTATAAAGTGCTTAAAAACAGCAGCAAGGCCAGCCAAAGTGCTGTACAACAAAACAAACAAGCAAAGGACACAGGATAAAATATATCATAGATAGATACATAGACAGACATAGATCACACAGAGGTAAAGATAAAAACTAAATGGCTAACATGAAAGAATACAAACACTATTTAAAGGTAGACCAGCTAACTTTAAATGGATTATCTTAAAATGAGGGCAGTACGATGGCACAGTTGGTAGAGCTGCCATCTCTGAGCAAGGTCGCCGGATCAAATCCCAACCGAGAACCTTTCTGGATGGAGTTTGCATGTTCTCTTCGTGTGCGTGTGGGTTTTCTCCCACAGACCAAAAACATGCATGTTAGGCTGATTGGTAACTCTAAATTGTCTCTAGATGTGAGTGAGAGAGTGAATGGCTGTTCATCTTGTTTGTTTGTACGTGTCCCTGTGATGGACTGGAGACATGTCCAGGGTGTCCCCCGCCTCTCAAACAGTGACTGCTGGTTATGGGCACCAGCGACCCCCATGACCCAAAATGGAATAAGCGGGTAAAGAAAATGGATGGATGGATGGATGTTAAAATGAATGAGAAAGTACAAATGTGCATTGTGAGTGCCATGGTGTCATGGTGGATAACCCAATATAGTATTTCCAGTGTCTCTAAATTTGAATGTTGAAGAATTTATGAATTTTGATTTGTAGAATAAAACAGCTTTATTTATAGATTTACTCTGTTCTGAAGTTTAATTATTTGGTCTGTATTAGTTGTATATGCAGACCTCCACATAATAGGACATGTTTGGCACTATAAGTGAAAATAAAATATATGCAAACGACTACTTAACAATTCTCAAATGTGTTTATACATGTAAGATGGTCACACACTCAAATGTATGTACATCTAAGATGTAACTTATTTTCTAAAATGGCTACCAGTGTGAATTAATCGTAATAATTTATAAATAATTCTTAGTGTTGGAAAACAAAAAAAATGTTTATTTCAAATTAAAACTGCTGGGTGGCAGAGATTTCGTTATCAAACACCTAGTGATGAGAAGTGGCATTCATGTGGAAAGGTACCTGGAAACTGGCTTCACTTTTCAGAACAAGGGACCACATCCATCTTTACACGTACAGTTCAATTACAAATTTAACTGATCCTTTTCATTACAATTTTTATTGCACTTATATATTTCTGTTATAACAAAGATAATAAATTCCAGTTCACCCCTGAATATTTCAGTTTTGACTTCATTGCAACCACTTTTATGCACAACAAGCTCTTGTTCTGTGCTTAAAGTGAATGCATTTAATTTCTGTGGCAGTATGCTTGTTGTTGTCAGTGTTTATCTGCAACTTGGTTTTATATTCTTTAGTGCATGTGGTGTGGGCATGTCATCTATATTGACTAACACGTGACAGCAGTAATTTGTATTCTTTACATTTGATAGTTTCTTCAGTTTAGAGTAATTCAGTTTTTGATTATCAGAACGAACAATGCTCTGTCAATGGTAGGTATTGCAGTCTCATTTAGATCTGGTGGTAAGTTGAGTAATACATTTTATTTATTTTCCTTACACTGTTTGAACTCAGCAAAATGATTATTAAATATTAATTGCCATTTATGTTTTATAACCAGCTTAAATGTCCTAATGTGATTTTTTTTAGATGAGAAAGTGATGGCAGATGATGAGTTCACCTGTGACCTGTTCCGGTTCTTGCAGCTGCTCTGTGAAGGCCATAATAACGGTGAGAAACATTTGTGTTTTGATTAAAAGCTGAGCTGAAAACAAATCAAGGTTATATTTTCTCAAAAGCAAACTGTTCAAGCTGATTGTGTTTGGCTGCAGATTTCCAAAACTACTTGCGGACACAGACTGGCAGCACCACAAGCATCAACGTCATCATCTGTACCGTGGATTACCTCCTTCGACTCCAGGTGCACTTTGACAGTAATCTACCCTGCAGATGGTGCACTTCATAAAAACTTAAAATAATCATTTTGAAGCCAAAGCCGGGGATTATAACGACACAGAACATGCCATAAATATCCACTGGAGTTTTCCTAATGATGCATCAAATCAGACGATTCAGACACTTGTAGTATTTGCACATTATTTTAAGCTGACTATTTTTTTTCACAGTGAGGTTTTAGTTATAATATTATCTAGCTGTCCTATTTTTTGTTTGTTTTTAATCTAGGAGTCTATTAGTGATTTCTACTGGTACTACTCTGGCAAGGACATCATCGATGATCCAGGCAAAAAGAATTTCTCCAAAGCCATGACAGTGGCAAAGCAGATTTTTAACTGTTTAACTGAGTACATTCAGGTACATTTACCATCAATGAGGCGTAGATGCTGGTTGGCTGTCATTTAGTTTGTAACAAACAGCTTTTGTCCTCAGGGTCCATGTACTGGCAACCAGCAGTCCCTGGCTCACAGCAGACTGTGGGATGCCATCGTTGGATTCCTTCACGTTTTCGCCCACATGATGATGAAGCTGGCACAGGTACACTTTTCATTTGTAGAAATAATCGTATAAAAATAATTTAAATATGTTTGTCCTTTGGGTTCTGCTGTGTTTCTCCTATTTACTGTAGATCTTTTGTGTTTTTGTATTTCTTAGGGTTTATTTTTAGTTTTCTGGTTTACATCTTATTTTGTTTCCCAGTGTTTCTTGTGCCATTTTCCATTTACTGTCTGTCAGCTTCCTCACTGTTTGTTTCAATGAGTCTGCCACCCTCATCTGTTCCTAATTAGCAATTAGCAATCTGCCCAGGTGTCCCCACTTCCCTCGCTCTCAGTTTACTATAGAGCCAGTTTCCAGTCACCATCTCTCCAGTAGTTCGTTACATTTGGGTGCTTGTCTCTCTATTTTTATCTTTTTTGGGTGTTTTGAGCACGCTTCAGTATTCTTCTTTTTATTTTTTATTTTGCCACCATGTTGGCCCGTTGTTTTATTTAAAATAAATAAGTTTTTATTTTATTTCTGAGCTCCTCCATGTTTGTCTGTAATTGGGTCCAATCCACCACCCGTTTGTGATAGTGTTGATGTAGCCTCAGTTTTAAAACTTAGCATTTGTCTAATGATATTTTGAATTTTCAGCTGTGAAGGCTGAACCTTTTTAGACACATATGCTTTTAACATTTATTTTGGCTTTATTATTTATCATGACTAAGCTCAGGGATGAGAGTGAATGTGAAAGATTGTACATTATGTCAGCAGGATTATTTTAAATTACCAATACTCAGAGTTTACGTCTACAGGGGACATACCTCCTTACATGCTCACAAAAACAAGTTTTTACCTGTGAGCTTTATGATGACACACTTGCTGACTTTAGATTATTTAATTTAAGCAACTGTGTTTACTATGCCTAAAAATTACAGTTGGAGCAGTGGCGCACACTCAGGGCCGTCAACACCTACAGAGAAGGCCTAAAAATTCAGCACATATAAAATGTTACATTTAAGTTTTTAATTTAATATTTTATATAAAATAAATATTTTTGTGCGGTTCTTTATTTTTTGCTTATTTTTCTAAATTTCCCTTAAACTGCTTTGTAGTTGAGCTAATATTTTTTTAATTCATGAAAATCCAGTTATCCAAACAGATTTTGAATTTTTGTCTCCAGGCAGAAACATGTTTGAAGGTTGTTTCTCACTGGTCAGAACTGCACTGTCAGGAGAAAAGGCTGAGCTCAGTCAGAGGCTCTGCAGGATGAATTTGTTTAATAACCAGCAGGACAATTAACCAATCAGAATGCTGATGTAGAGTGGGTGGGACCAAAACACGGGTGTGAGCTTTTAGGAAGACACTGCAAGGAGTTGTTGGCTTTTTTTTTGTGGGAGGGGGACCATGAAAAGATTTGCGATACATTGAAATTGCTACTTGTAATTAAAAAAAATCCATACTGAAATTGTTGTTGCTCTAAAAAAAAAAAAGAAGGTTAAATATAAAATTTAGCTTTACCGGTACATTGATATTTTTCTATGTTGGTTTTATGACATGATGAAATTTTACAGAAACAGTAAGTTCTATGGGTGACTGTTAAATTTCAAGGTGAGTTATTGAAATTACATGTTGTACTTGAATGCTGGAGGCTGGGTGAGCTGCAGGGGCTTCTGGGTAATAGGACAGAAATGGGTGGACTTTTTTAGCTCGTGTTCAGAGGGATTGTCTCTGTTGGTTGTTCTGTTTAATATTGGGTTTATGTTCAGGTTGGTGTTAGTGTCTGTTTAAAAATGACACCACGAGTCCGATGTTGGACCTGATGGATAAAAAGAGGAGAAGCACTTCCTGTCAGCAAGTTACTGAATTGTGAAACAGAAAGTAGAGTGATGTGATCTCATTGTGATTCTGTGACTTTGATGTTGGCATTTACGTTACAACATTACACATCCTAACTAAAGGCCTATCTCCTAGGGTCACAGTTCTCCACTGATTTAGAGTCTCAAACCTCTTCTTTCTTTTAATGTGCTTTTTATTTACATTCCAGAATGGTGTCATGTTCAGAGTTGGTCTACCTTTTTTATGTTACAAACTCTGAATAAGTCTAAGTCTCCAACAAATCAAGTGTTGTGCTTCACTTAAAAAATAATATGTCGCATTTTTTTTAAATTTCCAGAAACAAAACTTTCTAACTTCAGTGTAAATAAGGACAAAACAGTTATGTATCTTTACGTCAGTCTGGCCTTTAGTTTTATTTATGAAACCCTGAATAAAGAGAACCACATTTAGAAAATTGTTTCAGTAAATCCAGGTCAAATCTGGACATTCAATGGCTGCTTGTGAATTGTTTAATCCCCTTTTTTTGTTGACTTTACTCAGTTGCATTTAAAAAAATGAATCTGGTCACACTCACATTACCCACAATTCCACATTCTGAAATGGTCAGAGCCTGGTAGAATAATTATTTGTCTGTAAAGAATGTAATTCTATCTAATCAAAATCTTGACAATAAATTGTGGGTATTTGTGATTAACTGCTTCAAGTAGTAGAATAATAAACATATGATAACAGATGTTTTGATCAATATTTGTTTAAACAATTCTGTATGATTACTGTAACACTTTTGATTTGAATTATACATTTCCCAAAGACCACAGTATTTATTAATGATTCTCTTTGTGGACCCATGGGAATATTATTTTAATACTTGTGTGTTATTTTATGACCCCAGGACTCCAGTCAGATCGGTTTGTTGAAGGAGCTTCTTGACCTGCAGAAAGACATGGTTGTTATGTTGCTCTCACTGTTAGAGGGTAAATACGTTTTTATTGCCTAATTTATCATATTTTTCTTATCATTTAATTGTGTTATCCTTTTAAAACTTCTTTACTGTTTTTGATTATTATTATTATTATTATTTAGGAAACATAGTAAATGGCACCATTGCACGCCAGATGGTGGACATGTTGGTTGAGTCCTCCAGCAACGTGGAGATGATACTCAAGTTCTTTGACATGTTCCTCAAACTGAAAGACATCGTGGCTTCAGATGCTTTCCGTGATTACGTCACAGACCCTCGAGGGCTGATCTCCAAGAAGGACTTCCAGAAGGCCATGGACAGTCAGAAGCAGTATGCCCCGTCTGAGATCCAGTTCCTTTTGTCCTGCTCAGAGGCCGACGAGAACGACATGATCCATTACGAGGAGTTTGCCGGTCGTTTCCAAGAACCCGCCAAGGACATTGGCTTCAACATCGCCGTGCTGCTCACCAATCTGTCTGAACACGTGCCCCACGACTCCAGACTCCAGAACTTCCTGGAACAAGCGGAGAGCGTGTTGAACTACTTCCGCCCTTTCCTGGGCCGTATTGAAATAATGGGCGCCAGCAGGAGGATCGAGCGCATCTACTTTGAAATCAGTGAAGTGAACCGCAGGCAGTGGGAAATGCCGCAAGTGAGGGAATCCAAACGGCAGTTTATATTCGACGTGGTCAATGAAGGCGGGGAATCGGAGAAGATGGAGATGTTTGTCAACTTCTGCGAGGACACCATCTTCGAGATGAATATAGCCTCGCAAATTTCAGAACAGGAGGAAGAGGAAAAGGGGGAAGAGGATGATGAAGGTGATGAGGGTGGAGGAGAAGGAGGACAAGGTGGCGGCACAGGTGGAGCAGGGGATGAGGAGTGTAACGGTGATGAAGGACAGCCAGAATCAACCTCCGCCTTTGCAGACTTTCTGCACAGCATGTCGAGCTTCCTGAGTATTTTCACTTTCCGTAACCTTCGCCGGCAGTATCGGCGAGTGAGGAGGATGACCTTTAAGCAGATCATCGTGGCTGTGTCCACGTTTTTCTGGACCATCCTGATGAGTATCCTACACTTCATCTACAACGTGTGCAAAGGCTTCTTCATGATCATCTGGCAAGCTCTGTTTGGAGGTGGCTTGGTGGAGGGAGCTAAAAATATCACGGTGACGGAGATTCTGGCGAGTATGCCAGATCCCACACAGGACGATGTGCATGGAGATGGACCAGGGGAGACAAGGACAGGTGAAGAACAGGACGCTGGAGGGGTAACAGACACCGGTGAGACTGGGAGTGGTGAGGAGGAGGAGGAGGACACCCAGGAAAACGAAGGAGGAAGGATCCCAGGAATGGATGCTCCAGGTGGACTCGGAGATATGGGTGTAGAGGAACCTGTTGAGCCTCCGACCCCTGAAGGAACTCCCATAGCAAAGAGGAAAATGGTTTGTTTTTACAGTTTTTTACTGTAAATAAAATGTGTATTTTAATTATTTTACAAGATTTTAATAAGTTGGGGCATAGGTATGACCTGGATTTTAAAGTCTGTTGTTGTTTTTTTTTTAATTATTAATAACAAGCATCTTCCAAAAGCTTGACAACAAATGCAAAGAACACATTTTAAAACACAAAGTCTGGTTTATGTATTTTTTGTTACAGGCACCAGAAGAGTCTGATGCAAGTCAAAAACCACCCGAGCCTGCTCCTGTAGAGGAAACTCCTCCTCAACCTGAAAAGTCTGAGTACGTCTTTAGATTTTTGTTGTTGTTTTAGTTTAATTTGTTATCATTAAGGCTGCACAATATAAAAATATTATTACAATAATTCTGTGAGCATTCTCAATACCACAAAAGACTTGGACTTGGACATGGTAGGAAAATGTATTTTAGGTGCCGTGCATTCATGCTCTGCAAACCAATAATGTATCTGAGTTGGATAGACACTCACTGCCCCTGATGTCCACACCTTATTTAAATCATATTGTCTGAGCTGCTTAAACCTACGGAGAGTGTGGATCACTATGTGAGTGTGCTGCTTGTGGGACTGAGTTTGTTGTGGCTTCTCGGACTGATGAAGTCCTTTGGATTGTTAGAAGTTTAATCTTGCTGGAGGTCTGGTCTACTCTGATTCATAACCTGGTTCGGAACAGATCATACCAGTCTTAGGACAAAACGTTTCAACAACAACAGCAAAACATCCAGATGACTTGACTTAACTTTGTTGGAAAGGTTCACATACTTTTTCCACTCACAAATATGTAATATTGGATCATTTTCCTCACTAAATAAATGACCAAGTAATAAAAAATAATATAATAAAATAAATAATATAATATATAAAAAATAATAATATATTTGTCTCTTTTGTTTAACTGGACACTCTTTATCTACTTTTAGGACTTGTGTGAAAATCTGATGATGTTTTAGGTCAAATTTATGCAGAAATACAGAAAATCATAGAATTCACAAACTTTCAAGCACCACTGTATTTTGAGGGACAAAAATATAAAGCACGTTTTATTTAAATTTTACAGCAGCACCATTATCTTTAAATTTTGAATTGTATTTTTTTTTAAACTAACAAACTTAATTAAAATAAATTTAAATTAAATATTCATTATGTATTTTCCAAAGCCACAGGGAGCCACAGCAGACTGATGAAAGAGACACAGGTTGCAGACCCCAGGCCTAGATGTAGCCACACACCAAAATGGAAGTCTGCACATCACTTATTGTTTATCATGCTCAAAATACAGACAGATGGAGGGTACTTCTAATTCCGCTATTTGCTCCACAACAAGGGACAAAAAAACATGCCTAAAAGAGTGCAGCTGTCAAAAAAGACAAAAAATAAAACTCAGTGGAATCCAAAAATCTAAAAATCTCCCAGAAATGATAAATGCCCACAAACACACATAGTTAAAAAGGTTATCTGAAGTTTAGGGATTACAGAAATCGTACAGTAAGTCCAAAAATGTTAAATCTGGTCCTCTGGACATTCAAATAAACAAAAAAACAAAACAAAGCAAAAAAATATAGAAACGTTTCGTCTCTCATCCGAGAGACTTCCTCAGTCTGACGTG